CGTGCAAGGACGTGATTATATCACAGTATTTTACTAACTGCGGGCAAAACTGCCCACTTGCACATATTTAATGCAACTAATGATGTTGTGTGGGACTTTCTGTTGTTCCCACTTGAGCGGGGGCGGGAAGGTGGTTGGGGGGGGGGGGGGGGGGGGGGGTAAGGTTGTAATTAAAGTTTTTAATTAAAGGATTTATTTATTATTTCATAATGTCAGTCTTATTTTTGGCTGTATCAGCACACTAGAATTTGTAAAACACTGACATTAAGAGCCGGTAAATCCTGCAGGGTCATATCAGGAACACAGAAGAAAAAAAGGAGATTTCATGTAAAATCTAACTGAAAAAGTTCCCATCTGACCACATTCATATTAACTGATCTTTTTATGTACAATAATGTTTGTATATCTAACAATAATACTATGAAAACTGTCAGAGTTACAGGTCTTTGAGGTAAATATAGGGTGGGTCCAATTTTCACCTGTCAAAGGAGATACACATGAACTGTATTGCGATTTATCACAGTTTCAATAGAAAACAACACCAATTATTTGTCTATAATGTTAACTGATCCGAGCATTGGTCGCCTGGATATTATATCGGTTTTCTTCAAGATGTGTGACTAGGTGGCTTTTTATAACAAGTCATAGCATCTGAAAGGTCTCTTTTTTATTTTTACCTATGTTTTGATACCAGAGTCATCTTCCAGCCAAGATTCCTTCTGTCCCAAAACAATTTCCCAGCGTTTTCATGTTTAAACACTTGCAAACATAGCTTGTGGCTTTGAAATAGAGAAATATTTCTGATGTTCATGTTCTGCATGATAGCTGGGAGATTGATCAAACAACTTTCAGTCCATTCTCAGGATCGATGGATTCACTCCCCAAAAGTTGATTATGTTCATCTGGACGTAACGTTTTTAGTGGGAGAAACGTTTCGTCACTCATCCAAGTGACTTCTTCGGTCTCAACTCACTGCAGGTTTCCCCAATCTTATAAACAGTGCATTTGCATAATGACTGAAACTAGCACCACTGAAGGAACAATAGGCTGGGAGGTCAGTTCCTTCATCATAATTATGCAAATTCTCATGACCATTGATCAACAACCACTGATCAAAGACCACAGATCAATGGCCATGAGTACCATTCACAGAGAGTTGGGGAATGGCTGCAATCACAGCATAGTAATATGGTGAAAGATGTACCCTTAGGCCTCCTTTCCCTTTTCACGTAAATGGCTTCAAACCAGCGTCATATGATATGACCAGTTCCTTCAGTGGTGCTAATTTCAGTCATTATGCAAATGTACTGTTTATAAGATTGGGGAAACCTGCAGTCAGCTGAGACTGAAGAAGTCACTTGGATGAGTGATGTAGCGTTTCTCCTGCTGAAAATGCTACGTCCAAATGAACAGAATCAACGTTTGGGGATATACCTACCTGGATGATTGAGCATGCATCAAGAAGATGGATAAACTCCTTTTTTCAGCCTGTGAAGACTTTCTTTTGGAAGAAGTTTGCATCTCTGTTTTATTGTCCAACTGTGGTGAAACAGCTTGTAGTCAACTCCAAACAATTTTTCACTTAACAACATGCTGGTCCACCAAATTTTTTTACGTTTGCTTCTGTGTACAAAACCATCATATATCTGTATTTTCACACATTTTATTACTTTAACTACAATTCCTCCCTCTTTGTCGATATTGAAGGAGAGATCTGAGACTACAGAGTATCTAGGTGAACATAAAGAAAACAAACAAACAAACAAAAAACGAATCAAGAATAACAGAAATCATAATAGTGGTTATCAGCTTTAGTCAGGCCTTCTGCTTCAGGTCCTGTTCTCATTTGACACTTCTTTCTTTCACAGTGTAGCCTATGTGATAAGAGGGCAGTCCATACAACATGTTCACTTAAATGAAGATGAATTAATAAAACAGAAATACCAATGAGGCTTGATGAGATATGGATAGAAGCATCAGTTGGTGGGCAGTAAATTGCCATAAAATGGATCCAAAAATTGCCAATTAGGAGGACGAGGTCATCGAGAGATATGAATGACACAAAAGCAAAACACAATGCATGCGGCAAGTCAGGAAAGTATAAAATACCGCAGTTTTTTAATTTTATTTTGTTCAAATAGTGGCAAGTCATTGTTTCAGTAATTACTTGGCTCATAGTGAATGTTACAGAAAATAAATAGTGTCAGTGTGGGACTCAGTGAAGCTGATTTTAAACTGATTTTAACCACACCCTTGTTCCTTTAACGTGGTAAAAAGAGAACCATCCAAAACTGAGGATACAATTCGGAAAGACTCATCAAAATCAGATAATTGAATGTTGGAAAAATTCTGCCTGGTCTTAATTTGGATAGTACAAATCTAACCTTTGTATAGTAGAGACAGAGTTTGACACACACTGGGCACTGCACTACCAGCTGACCACAGTCAACCGGAGTATTGTTGCTGAGCCTGTCCACAACTTTATGACTACAGTATACCCATCTTCTCATACTCCCACCAGAATATGGTGCTGTCTCACAAAGCTCAAATCATGTCCTTTGAGCACCTTTGGAGCTTGGTGGAACGGGAGATTTGAATCCTGGATGTGCAGCCAACAATTCTGCAGGAACTGTGTGATGCTATCGTGTCGTTATGGAGCAAAATCTCTGAGGAATGCTTCCAGCACCTTGCTTAATCTGAATCATTAAGAAGTAATTATGTCCCCCTCCAGGGGCAAGGGTACCTAGACCCGGTTTGTAGAGTACGCTTGGGGAGTGTGATCGTGTGTACAACGTCTCTTTATGTCTGTCTCCACGTTGGTTGAGTGTGGAGTAAGTGCATATGAGAGCATGAGGGTGGGAATGGATGTTTGTATCTGTGTGTGCCTGTATTTCTGTATCTATATGTCAGGTTGGGTGTCAGGCGCCACCTCTCTGGGGACATCTCAGGCCCTCCAAGGTTTGGAGGCCTATCTCCCCCTACCACCACTTCCCCTGCCAGTGGCGGACTCCCTCAGACATCGGTGCGTTGGTGGTTCTTTGTGTCCGGGGGTGGGCGTCCAGGTACACACCGGCTCACTCCTTGGCGGCCGCTTGGAGCCTGGGGCTCGCTCGGGCCACTTCGGAGGTGGGGTGCCCCCGGCCTCTCGACCTGGGGCTCGGTCACTCAGGCACGGCTGGCTGCCGGCGGAGCTCACGGGCGCGTCACTGCAACTCCCCCTGGCTTCTGCTCCGCGGCTGCTGAGTGAGCCCTCATCTGGGACTCTCCTCAGCTCTTTCTGGGACAGTGGCGCGGCTGCCCCTCTGTTGGTCTTCCTTGGTCTCTTGTGTTCTGGGGGCCTCTGGATGTCTGGAGTTTTGATCTCCTCCATACCTGCTTCATGCCCTGGAGGACGGGGCTGTGGCCCCCCACACCCTCTAGCAGATCATTACATGAAGGAACCTTTTAAAAAAACAAGCGCGTCCATGCTCACAGGTGTACACACGGGTGATCACACCCACAAACTACACCCTTTTTGGCTCCTACCTCAAAGCACACTGTGTTCTGTTGATCTTATGTGCTGCACAATAATGTTTAATATTTAGTATTTACTGTCATATTCCCATATATCATTGTGATGTTGTTTATTCTATTACTCTTGTTCTCTTCTGCTTGTTTTCTTTTTTCTTTCTCAGCAGGTGATCCAGGTGATTGATATATGCATTTATTTCTTTTCTTTTTTTTTTTTCTGCTCATTCTGTTGGTTTTTGTTTTTTGCCCTTCTCCCCCGTCCCTCTTCTCAGCTGTTTCTCTTTCCCTCTTTCTTTCCCCCAGTCAAGTCTGTCCCGTATTCAGTAAGTGAAAATAAAATAAACAATAAAAGGTGAATCAAATGGACCATTACGGCAAGGCTGGGATGGTCCATTTGGTAAAGTAAATCCGTTGGGCATCTTTCTTTGCTTTTAGACAACAATTCTGATGGCAAAAGAGCCAAACGGGACAGGCAAAAAAAAAAAAAAAAAAAAAAGAAGTAATTATGTCAAAATCCAGCCACCCTGGTACTGTCAAGGTGTAACTAACATATCGAGTTAGAGATGCTGAGTGTACATAATTCTTGAATTATGATTAAAATAACATTCAGAGAATAAAACAAAACGAACATCAGAAATCGTTTGCAGTTAGCTACAAAACCACTTTATTGAAAAAGCAGATTATGTCATCTACAGTTAAATGATACGTCCCGATTTTAATACATTAAATAACTTTAGACTTTTTCATGTTTAGATAAATAGATCTAGTTTCCTTTTTTAAAATGAACCATCTAGGTAATCAAAACACTTAGCGATATAAAAGATGTGTGACAGGTATCCAGATGTGCTTATTGGAACTACGAGTAGGAGAAGATATCTTTTCTTTCCAAGTGATTTTTGACAGAATTATAAAATAAAATAAACTAGCCTTTTTATGTACAGGGTAACTACCTGTGTGCTATGCAGCAGAAACTGAAGTAGTACTTTTAAACAAGCGAATTAAGACATCTTTGAAGGGGATAAACTGGGCTTGTTAAGTCGTTGATAAAACACAAAAGTTCAGAAAATGCCTCATTCTTCAAGTATAGCACACATGACTTAACCCTTGTACAAAGTTGAGGTTAAACACATCAAATACGGGGGGAATGAATCACGTACAGTATGCAGTCCTTTTGTTCTTTTACACGTACTAGTCATTATTACATTCAAACGAATCTCATTACATCAGGTTACATTAAAAAGCCCTTTCGGCCTGTGGTGACCCCTGCCTTCAGTCTATGCTTCAGTCTCTGTTTTGGACACATTCAGTAGTATTTAATCAGACCTGCATGTATTACAGTATGAATAAAAGCACGGCCAGTGTTTGCAAGTAACAATTGGTGATTGTTTTACTCAAGTTTGCATACTTGACGGGTGGAGTTTAAGTGCTACGGTCAAAGTTTGACGTATGAGCTACTGGAGCATTAGCTGTGTGTCTCAAACATGTGTAAACTTCACATGTTTCAGATCCAGTATGGTACAAGAGAGAAGTTCAAACAAACACCAACAATTAGAGACAAACATCCGGAATATGGTAAGCAATGAACAGACAGCATCATCACAATCATTACCAGGTTTGAGAGCGCAAGGATCAGTGTGCTGGATGCTGCTGAGCCCTGCAAACACAGTGAGGTGCATGTGCCATGGCCCTGCCACTAATACGCACACGCACACACACACACACACACACACACGCACACGCACACACACACACGCACACGCACACACACACACGCACGCACACACAATATTAGACATTATGACAAGTTGCTCTTATTTCAAATAAGCTCATATTGTTGGGGTTCATCTGCAGAAGTGCAGGATTTCTTTCAGAATTAAGAGCTTTCCTCACAAAAACAATGCTTTAAATATAATCAGGGAATGATCAACAGACTGCCAGTTCAATAAACACACTGATAACAGTCCAATGAAGAAGGTTGGGAATTTTTCCACGCTACCACAGCTTGAAGTTTAAAATATTTAAGTCTCGTGTTGGTCTTCCTTTGCATATATGTATAGATATATATGCACATCACTCACTAAAAGACATACATATAAGTGCCTGCCAATGCACACACACACACACAAACACACACACACACAATCAAAGAAGGGGGTGTGGGTGGAACTCCCTAAAGAACACAGGTGGGACCAGCAGCTCCGTGTTCTCAGGTACATCCTCCCGAAACACAACAGCAGGCTTCATGGCAGACCAGAGAAAGACACACAAACAAACCTGTTCTGTCTTAAGGCATGTGGACAAGTGGAGATTCCTCATAGTAATGCACGATGTGCTGATGTGATTTAAAAAAAAAAAAAAAGTCTGCAAAAACATCAGGAAACAGCGCCCTGAACAGATCTGGAGCAAAAGGTATTTGTAGACAAGCGTTCAGTCTGTTTTAACCCGCTTGGTTTACCCATGGTAGCAGAGAGAGTGTGGCCTTTTATGTCTCTCTTTTAAGGAAATTCAGCTACTTCCTGGTTGAAACAAATGATCATATATGCTTACCTGCATGACAATCACCAGCCTATCAAAACGACACTGTCCCAGTCTTGTAGCTTTAAAAACTGTTTGAATAAACTGTCTTTAGCCAAGAATATACCCTATATAGTTTAAAACAAGGAGTTCTCACACTTTTTTACTGGGGGAAATTTTTTTCCACAACCACTATATTATAAACCCTAAACAGATTAATTGTGTTTAGTGTCACCAGATGCTGTGGGCTGATATTTCTCCATGCGCGCCAGCAACCCAGCGGTCTAATACACCGAGCTAAATAGTAACAGGAACATTATAGTGCACCCTGAGAGAAGTAAGAGCTGGTGACAGACTGATATGATGTTTCCCAACCTAATGTGGGAGGGAAATAATGGATCCAATATGCTGCTTTTACTGGCGCAAATAGTTCCAGTCTATATCTGTGAATTTAAACAATGAAGTTCAGTTTTCTAACTTACAGGAATTTATTCTGAGGACCACTTAGCAATAGGTTGCGGACCCCTGGGGATCCTCAGACCCCACTTTGAGAACTGTAGATAAAAAAAAGAGCTAATGAATGCTTTATTTTTGGAAATTTCTCCAACAGTGAGTCACAGCTGGAATTTTTCCTGTGAGCTGTGGACATCTGCCTTGTGCGACTGCTGAGTGTCCTTTAGTGTTGCACCAAAAGCCCTAATCCTCTGTATTTAAAGACTTATCTCCGGCTAATCTCTTAAGACGTTAGGATTAAGCTAAGTCTTAATCTTAATGATATAACTTTGATGACTTGTGGTGTGATGACAGAAGGCATGAAGATAAATTTAAAAGGGTCTGAAATAAAGATTAATATTTGTTTTACATTTTGTAGGATTTAACTACAACGTATAGCTGCCTCTATACAATCTGTGCGATGGGACTGCTCATCTGTTGTCTGTTAAAGACAGAGAATGATAACATTGGTTCAGTCAGGGAGCACATGACCAAAAGAAGTATTTTCTATTTGGCCTGGTCTGGGACTCCCTTGTCCTTAGAGCACCAGCGTGAAACTCCATCTCCTGTGATGGAGATGGGTTGCAATGTGACTTGCAGGTGTGTAGTACCTGTATGCAGGCTAAAGCTTATTAAATAGTGCACCCTGTATGTGATTTGCTAATTGGATCTGTAGAAGGCGGTGAGCTGAGAAGAAGAAGAAGAGTGCACCCAAGCCTAGTTTCAAGGCCTGCCTGAACTAATGCGATGCTTGATTTGTAAGCTTTCTATGGTGAGTAAGGGCTAAAAGAAACTCATTTCACTGGGTGTACAAAGTGGGACAAAACAACTGAAGGCAAATACTATTTGATCCTGGTCTGCTCCTACAAAGCCTGTGAATCTCTGACAGGCATGAAGAGGCTCTGTGTCCTGGAGGAGAAATGATACAACAGACCAAAAGCTTCCGAGGCTTTAGACTGATTCTACCATGAGCGCAGCAACATTAAAAAGAAAACAACAAAACAAGAATCTACATCTAAGATCTGATGTGGAAAATGTCTGCAAAATATATATCCATATATAAAAGACAATCTATGTGCATCTAAAATTTTCTGTCATCATATAATCATTAATTAAGACACTGCTTGTGACTTCTAAGTGGAATGTCAGTCCGTCCTCTGGGCTTGTGGTGCTACTCTGCATCGGTGATGTCGAGGTGGTGCAAGGGTGACAGTTTTTCATCACAGCCCTGTGTCATGAATGCTGGGTGTCCATTGCATAGCCTTTAGCAGGACTCCATTTCAGTGTTAGAAGCTACACGGGGAGAGCCCACTCTGAAGGCACGGCATGCCCACCGTTGGGCCTGTCCGGCCCAGCCAGCACTGGAATGCAGTGGCTCGTTCCCCGGCCTTCCTGACGCTAACATCAGCAGCGTTCTCAGATGTGACAGCACTGGTGAATTCACGTGGTAAATTGCTTCAGTCAAAGCATAAGAGTGAAAGATACAGAAAGGATGAGAGAGAAAGCAAGGAGAGAGTTGAATTTGCGCTTTCTCCTCCAATCCAGAAACCCTCTTTCTGATGAATGTGCTGGGGTCAGGAGGTGTGACGTCATCAGGGGCCTCTGGGTGAGCTGGCGTGTTGACTTTCAGGGTTAGGCGCCCAAGGGGGAGGGGGATGGAAAGGACCACAAATGGAGGGTAAGGGAGGGACCCTTTTCCCCAACCCTAGCATGTAATAGCAGGGCTTGTGGTGGGAGCTGCACTGTGTGTGTTAGTCCACGGACTGGCTGTCCAGCTGAGGACGGGGGCAGTAACTCAGATGGCCACAGAGAGGCTTCTCTGGAACTGCTGAAGAGGGTGCAGGCCTTTTTTTGCCCACTGCTGGTGTCCCAGATCACCTGGGATGTGGAGCTTAGTTCTCCCAATCACAGTTCAGTGACATGGAGAGGGTAGCTGGGGGGCGCATGGGCAGGAACCTGCGACTGGAGCCGAAGGATGTGGCAGTCGTGGCAGAGCAGGTGGCCTTCCAGTGGATAACAGCGGTGCCTTTCCTCATCATTTAACTGGAGACCGCAGTCCTGAAATAAATATAATTACATATATTTAATAATCACGCTCACACATATTAATAAAAATCCATTTAGACACTATAAAACATGTATTTTACATGCACTGGTAAATTTTGAGGTTTTATGCTATTTTGCTTCCAAAATGTCTCAGACTGGTGGAGCAATCATACAGTCTGGCATTTACCTTTTGCTAATTTGAGATTTTACACATGAACTTCAGACATTTTCAGCAGAATTGTGTTGGGATGATTTCAAAAGGAGGAAACAGCAGGAAAGAGTGTACTTCAAAGACCGAAGCTGGCAATGTGGTTTAGATGAGAGAGCTGCCTGGGCAGAGCACGCCGGAGGCAGCACACATGGTGCTACTTTGACTACTGGCTGTACATTTTGCAGATCAGAACAAAAACCCCAAATTACCCATCGACCTTTTCAGAAGTGAGCTTGCAGCTTAAAGACTGTCTAATTTCATCTGACGTTTCCACTGTCACATGGATCTCTTGGGTGCATGCACTACTTGGCACGAGTAAGCAAACACCTTTTGTCTTTTTAAGTAAAATAGTAGATGTTTATGATCCACAACCTTCTCTGTGATCTTCCTATTTTCCACTTGCCTGATAACTTCATCTTCTTCAATCCTTTGTCCGATATATCAACCATCCCTTCTCTGCACATGTCCAAACCATCTCGACCTGAGCTGTTCCTCTGATATACTCATTTCTAAGCTTGTCTGTTCCAGTGATTCACAACAAATATCCAGGTTTCTGCTGTGCATATTTAAATAGTGAACTGTGGACCTGCGATACAAAGTAACTGGAGAGGTTTTAAAGTAATAATCATAAGCTTTCAATATTTAACCAGTAAATATTGAATTTCAAACATATATCTTTAAAATCAGATTTCTTTCTTATATTTTAAGCCCAAAATCTCCACCTATAGCTACCAAACTTTCAATTTTTGGAGCAGTCTATATCCTGAAGGTTTTAATAGCATTCAGAGTCACATTTATGGAAGATTTTACTCTTAAAAACTTGGGGGGGAAAGTATTTTTTTCCTGTTGATAACAGCAAAAACAGATTTCAACAAATTAAGCCACCTGCAATATAAAAGTACTTTGCTCAGTGTAAAGTTATTAGTTAGTTTTTAATTATTTTTACTGTCTTTACCTGTAGTTTCTTTCCTTAAAGAAATAATTTGAGATTTTGGGAAACAGGCTTGTTTGCAGAAAATGAACAGATGAGAAAACTAATTAGTGACACCAAGTTGTGCCAGTGACTTCAGTGTGGGCGTCTTTCTGGACCCTCGTTGTAAACAGGGTGCTGACTCTGAGACAAATCATAGACAGTGAGTGGGTTTATCCTTGAAGAGTTCAGATGTCCAGAGGGAACTGTGGGTTTGAGAAAAGCTGCCTCCAAAGACGGGGATAGAGGCTGTTCAAATTGTATGCTTTGATGAATGAGCACACTGATCTCTGAGCCTGCAGAGGAATTCTGCGCATGGCTGACACGACGAGACCCCGATGTGGACCCTGACCATGTTGGAGGGATTACATAAACTGACTGCTAACCACTCAGGTGATTTAAAACCGGATAAACAGCTTAAAAATGTACATATTATAAATGAATTTTCACTGTGCATCAATGTGATTCTCGCTGTATTTTCAAAAATCCAACTGTCGTGTTACAGCATTACAGAAAAAACATGTTTTTTCCCCTCAATATGTAATTATTTACCATCTTCAGAATGATTCAACTGCAGACTTTACCCTTCCTGTCCATAAGCCTCCCTCTCACCCCCCATTCAGAGCTGCACTGAATGATTACCCGCTGCTTATATAACGATCTGATGCATTTCTATGAAGCGGAACCTCAGCCATTCAGACATATGCAAGTTGTATCCTGCTCAGGGGATAGTAAAAATGATCTCACGATTTAGAAAAAAAACCCTGCTCAATCGCTGCAGGGAGGCGTGAAATGTTTATTTGTTTCACTAAACATTCATGGCACACTTGAACTAAAAAAAAAATCTAGCAGCCAAGTTGAGCGACAGGATGACTGAGATGTCAGAAGCTGGGTTTAAGCAGCAAGCCCCCAGCCGAGCTGCAATGCGCTTTGTCAATGAGTCACATATTGAGCTGTAACCTTTGGTTGATAGCCATCAGTATGTTTTTTTTCCCCTGTCTGTGTCTCATTCATTCCACAAGAGCAGTGATTCACACTCGTTGGTAGAAAACAGTGAGTCTATTCTTATCCCACGATTTGGAGATCTTACCACAGTTCACTGTGTTTACGGGACTAAGCAGATGTGCACGTGTGTTAGTGTGTGTGTGTGTGCTAAAGTAGTGTGCAAATATGTCCTTGTGTGTGTTTTTATAATTTCAACCGCCTCAAAAGTTGAATCACGCACAGTGATGCTTAATTCACTCTAATCAAATCCCAGGCATGGCAGATCACTCTTACTCATACCTTGTGAAGTGTGTGTGAGAAAGAGAGACTACAGTCAGTGTACGCAGTCGAAGTGACTCACCTCACAATGGTAGCACTCCACGTGGTAGTCCTTGTCCATAGAAACAACGCGAATAGTTTCCTCAGAGCCCTGTGGAGACAAACACACAGAAAGTGATGAGTTTGATGTTTGAGCCCTGCAGCTTTTATTATTAATTTTTGATTCATTCATTCTACTTTTATCTAAAACATATTGGCTTTTATTTTCACCTTCAAAGCAAAAGCTTTTGTTTGCTTTGGTTTTTGTACATTTTTTCTGTAAGCATCTCCCTGTTGGTGATTGTGTGCTAGTAAGAGATCATTAAAAAGAAAATCCATGAAAAATTCAATGAAAAAGAAAATCGGACGATTCTTCCCTCACAGGGCGCCGCTATGTGGAGCTGTTATTTTTCGATTGCTTTGTGAAGTTATATTCTGACTTTGTGCTCGTTTGAATCTGCAGTGGGTGTAGTGGATCTCCTTGAGTGTGTCAGAAGGGCGACTCTTCAAGTTGAATTTTTGAGAATGCAGATGTAAATGAAGACAGTCAAATCTGGTGAGAAAGTGAGTGATGAGTGAGAATTAGGTTGTTCTATGTGAAGGTGCAGTTTGGGTCAGTTGTGGTGAATGTTCTCCCTCAGACACGTTGGGATGTTACAGAAAACCTCAACACTCTGACAAAGATCCCAGGGGGGAAAAATCACGCTGTAAATGTTTGTGAATCTGAGCTTGGACACCTGCTCCCGGTTGGTATCTGAGTTGTAGCAGCATCTCTTATTGCCGTTCTTGATCCCAGATTAGATTTTGCCACCTCTTTTACATAGATTCGGAAAAAATTAGTTACATGAATGAGCCTTTTTGCAAATACACCCGACGTTCACATGATTAATGTCAAATTCTGGTCTCTGAGTCCAACCAAAGTCATCAGTAACACTCAAAAACGGCAAGATGTAATATTGTTTTGCTCGTTACCTGGGCTGGAAGGATGGGCTGGTTACATGAGGCACACTTGGGGGCAAAAACCCTGTAATGGAAAAAAAATCATCAACCTTGTGTTTAACTCAACTAAATCTAAAAGTTGTTTTTAGACATATAATACACATTCATACCCAATTTTTGGATGCTGTTTAAAATATAAACAAAAACAGAATGCAATACAAATCTCACAAACCTATATTTTACTCACAATAGAACAGAAAACATATCAATGGCTCAAGCTGAGAAAATCTACCACTTTAAGGGAAAAAAATTGGCTCATTTTTCATTTGCTGGCAGCAACACATCTCAAAAAACTTAGGACGAGGCCATGTTTATCACTGTGTACCAACAACAGATGGGATGGGCGCAACAAATGATTGCTCTTGCCATTAAATTCAAATTGATGTAATATTTATCACGAAATAATTAAATATTTCAATTTAAACATGTGACATGATAATTAAATATGAGTTTATGAGAATTGCAAATCGTGGCTTTCTGTTTTCATCCCAACTTTTTTGGAATTGTGGTTGTAAATACCAGGACAATAATTAAACAAACAGGAGGGTGTGGCGTACCCCCGTGACACCTGGCAGACTGAGACAGACTGCTTCTTTGTGCCAAACATTACTTTTACGTGCTGAGCTGTTTGTTTACAAAAACGATCGTCTTCTTACGTGTGGTAGTCTTTGACACAGTAGATGTTGTTCTCAACGTCCACAGTGAAAGGCACTCCATCTAGACCCTCCTTACACACAACACAGCGGAAACAGCCGGGATGGTAGGACTTGCCTAGTGCCTGGAGGATCTAAACTCCCACACAGAAAAAAATAGAGAAGAAAATAGAAGATAATAATAGTTCTTATATAGGACTTAAATAACAGGTATGGACATGCAGTAGGACATAATAGGCAGCGAAAAGGTTACACTCTCTAAAGGGCTGTCCAATTTTTTATTGGAATAGGGTTATTCAGACAGTATGTGAGATTGCTGGAGTGAAGGTCTCAAATATAATTGACTTTGGACTCCTGCAGGACAAAAAGATGATAACTTTATCTTGGAGAAAAATTGATGTAGCTATAGATATATGTATGAGTGAAGGAAATTATATCTTGGAAAAATACTGGATTATACAACACTACATCTTTTTTATCTGTATCTTCTTTAAAATTCTTTGTTAAATATGTAAAGTAAAAATTCTCTGTTCTCCTCTAACGGTTGTGAAAACACAGCAGCATGCTTAATTGCTGAATCAGATTAATGATTTTTATTAAAAACGTGGTTGATAAGGAAAAAAAGGTCTTCGTTGCTCAAGGCTCTTACCATCTCCATGATGAGGTGACCACACACAAAGCACTTCTCAGCCGTCTGCTGGAAACCAGAGTACTGTGGGTGAAACCAGACACGCAGATTATCATGCTGAGTATTGCTTTTTTGGATACTGTTGCACTGACTGACCTTGCAATCTAAAGCAATGCTTCACACTTTCTGCATGAAAACATGTTTCAATCTTGTATTTATCTACAGAGGGAATTGCTTGTTAAATGAGATCAGTTATGCCCTTTTCACCTCTATATCTTTATTTTTGAACTCTGCGTGAATTACAATTAAAAACAATTCTTATTTGTCTCATACTGAATGTAAATGTAGCCTCAAAAAAGCTGTTACAGTTTCGCTCACTTTCGCTCACTTTGGCTGGCTGCATCTTCTAATGGTTCACTTACACCAGAGCAAAAATAGGATGTCAACCACCTAGCAACTAAGCAGAATTGTTTGTTTCCCAGTGACTGTATTATTATTATTTTTTTGTTTTGTTTTGCTTTGAGCGTGTGGCACATTCAATTTCTGTGGGACCTCTGTGCTCTCAGTCAGAGCTGTGCGTGTCAAATGACCATATAAGGATATCATCTCTCTGACATTGTACAGAACCAAGAGCTGAAAAAACTGCCAGTGTTCAGTGTTTTGAAGCGTGAGCTGTTGAGCTATTCAACCTTAATGTGTTGACCTCATTATTTGTAACTTTGACCATGTTAAATGTAACAGTTTAATTATGAAAGGAAATAAATAAAAGCATAATAGATACACTTTATAATGAGATGACCAGGCTTTATTTAGAATCATCTCATCATTCTCTTAGCCTCCATTACTTTTTTTTACAGCTATAACTAATTCGTCAAATATTCCTTCATGTTGAGGGAGTTTAGTGCCCTCTGTCTTCTACAGGAAATAAAACACTCGCCAACACATCAGTAGCTCCTTCCCTTCAAACCTGAAGCCCAGGCGAATAATTAAAGCGACCATCTGCAGCACACAACCCCCTCTGGGTCATGACCTGATTGATACAGAGGGGCCTGCTAATGGAGACACTGCTACCAGGTGGAGGTGGTAGGTCATGATGGGCAGGCTGCCCCCTGCCCTGACATCTCTGCTCTGAATCTACCATCTGCCAGCACCTCCCCCCACCTATGAAGCACCCCCAGGGTGACAGCCCAGACTAGCCGTGCATCAGCCGTAGGAGGGAGGCGGAAGGAGATTAGTCTCATCCCGACATCTCAAAGGTGTTGATTGTAAATTGCAAAACAGGAATCTGAGTGTTTCCTAACAGGCCAGCAGGTTACAGGAAAGCTGCCTATAAACAGGAAGTACTGTCAGCACATGAGGCTAACAGTTATGGTGTAATCTGGACAACAAAACCAATTTCAACATCTGCGTTAGAGGAAGTGTTTGCAGCCACCTTCCTTGTTTGAAATCAGTTACATTTTATTCAAATCACATACAGCTAGAGTAAACAAAATATGATGGTCACGATTCTCAGTGTTCAGTGGAGCATGAGATCAGGTCCAGTGTCTGGCCTGTTAACCTGCAGCAGATGGACCAGGAGTCTGAGAGCTGCAGCTGTCCAACCCTCCTCCTCCTTCTCCACCTCCTAATTGTAAGTGCCGGGGAGCAGCTCGCAGTGTAATTGAGCTCCTTGGGGAAATTATTAGTGTGAATTGAAGGGGTGGTGCTAAAGCCCTAATTGTAGCTGTTCAGTGTTTTTCCTCCAGAGGGTTCAAGAATGTAGCCTGAGGTCCTAATTCTTCGCTCTTTCTGCTCCACCTACATCCCCGTCTGACTCCAGCATGAGGCAAACACACAGTGATGCACTCATCACAGAACAAAATCAATAACCATGAGAGCACTTACCAGAAAGTCCTCCTCACAGTAGACCTTTCCATTGACGTTGTAGAACGCTTTCCCTCGTAGCCTCCTCCCTGAAAAGATGAACGGCAAATTAAAAATGCAACATGCAAAGATGTATATAGACTATATAGTCAAAAGTATGTGGATGCTCATAGTTTTGTACTTTGGATCTAGAAATCTTAAGGCACAGACCCTTACAGTAAACAAGAGAACCGCTTATATACAGTGGGAATATTATTTCTCATCTCCTTGCATTCATTTGCTATTTTGTTGTCTACCAACAACCAAACAGTGTGACGAGGGATTTTCTGACAACCAAACATTATTATAGCACACTGTACTTTACAGTATACCACAAGTGGACATCAAGGTATGAATTATTTTTTTTGTAACGGTACATTTTAAGCAGTTCTTTCCTTTAACAACAAAAACAACAACTAAAAAAAGTTGATGTGAGCCCCAGACTTTATGTGTAGTTGTTACATTTTGGGAATTACGAATAAGTGATACAGCAAAGGTCTTGGTTAACCTACTGAAAGAAGAAGAAGAAAGACAACTATCACAAAAGCCATGTGTCTTTTGACTTCAGCTGGACTGAATGATCATCATCACTGTCATCTGTCAGTACAGTTTGGGTAATAATAAAAAAGCACTTTGCAAATGAAACATCTGAGAGAAATAGGCCAACATCAAAATAGTGGTAGACCGTTCAAAAGTGTCTGATTTAAAAGTGTCTTTTCCAGTGAAGGCAAGGTATCTGCCAGTGGACTGATGACATCCAGATGTTACAAACTGAATCAAAAGGAGAACTAATGATATGTCAGAGGACACAAAGGTTATTTTCTGAACATATAAATATAGTCATCCCTTTAAATTCTGGCTTACACAAAAATTGTGAAAACCATTGCACTGAACATTGTTGCACACCAACCTTAGCCCCCCCCCAAAACATCAACATGTTACCTCAGCAGAACAATGCTAACTGCTACACACCATGAAACCCACAAAGTTTTAGGAAGTAAAAAGAAGAAACCATCACAAACACAAAATAAGTCCAACACACAAACACTCAAATGACCCAAAGGCTTGACTGCCAATGTGCCATGACATTCTCAAAGGTGCCATATTCTTGCTTTGAAGGGTCAGAGATGGCATGAGGAGGATTTACACGATATTAGGCAGCTGGTTTGAATGCTGTGACTCATCAGTTTAAGTAATTGCAACTTTGTGGCAACAGTTTCCACTTTGCTTGCAAACTGACTTTCTTTTTGCATAAATTCCAAAACTTTTTAAGAGGACCTGCAGATTTTTTCTGTGTAAAAATTTTTTTGGTGCAACCACACTTTAAAATCTTAGCTGAGTGGGAAAGGATTTGACAAAGTTTAGTGTAAAACCGTAAAAACCATCCCAGAATACTAGAGAAAGCAAAGAGATGAGCTTATCCAATTTTCCACTTTTTAAAATCTGATGATAAAATAGTCGATTTTCTTTATTGCTGGTTTGCAGATTTCTGTCACAGCTGCACCATCCACCCACTGTTTAAACCTACTGTTTGTAAAGGACATGAAAAGGAAGCTGAATTCGGAATAGAAGAAAGATAGCTTAAATGAAAGAATGTCGGCCTTCTAGTGAAGAGCAGTTAAAATTGCATGTCGCAGGTAGAGAATGAACTGAGTAGCTGCACCGAGGTCCAGTATTAGAAAAATAAATTGTATCTTGAAATACGAATCCTCCCGCAGACATCAATAATAAAAATATGGAAGAGAAAATGTGCACTTTTAGACTGTATTTGTTAGGTTATCACTTCTTTGCCCCCCAAAAACTAAAAAAACTAAAAAATAAACAATGAACCAATTATTTCAGACAGAACATGCGATATAACACTTCTGTTAACTTTTACATGCAAAAACACATCCTACTGTATCCTTTTCTTTTATCTGCCACGGCCACAGCACACAGAGTGCGGAGCAGATGGTTCGCTAAAAAAAGGCAACTTTCTGCCTCCGTTTAATTACCTCAACCATTGATCCCGACAAGAATCCATTCACAACCCATACACAATCAATACAGCAGGCTGCTTGCCAAACCTCCCCCAAAAATCTCCACTCTTCCCTGCTATTGTGCACTGCTCACAGACAGACCAACAATAGCAGACTGGAGAGAGGATGTCCCTTATTCTGACACATACAGAAAACGACAACCAGCTTTTCAACACCGCTTCATTATTCTAAATAACTTTAAAACCCTAAAAAAGTCACAGGCCCACAACACATAAACATGTCCACACTGTGAGCCCGGGTTCAGGACACCGAGCTTCTAGCGCAGAGTGAGAACACTGAATTCCTCTGGGTTAGACTTCATTCATCAGAATCCAAGTTTGAATCCAAACTGAAAAGGAAATTCTGCTGCGGGCTGGCTTCTACAGCCCCCTGCCATGCATCTCACACTGCTCGCCCATTCAAATTCATTTAACAGCAGCGGTGTCTCTGTGGCAGCACGATGACTTCACCCAAGCCTGGCAGACGAAACCCATGGATCTCATAAATCTGCAGGATTAGTCAGATTTAATTGTCGTCCTGAGCCACCACTGATTTTATGGGTGTCCCAGCATGAAAAATATGCTGCTTTTGTTTTTTAAACTTAAATTTATGCAGTCGCTATATTTCATACACATGCACTCACATGCACTCACACACACACACACTGTCACAATGCTGGGAGATGGCAATACATTAACATCCACATAAATGGCTGGAGCAGCAGAGGAATGTTGTCCACACAATAGGTGAGACTTTTAAGACTTTGAGACTGAGGAGCAATTAGCATTTTGGTAGCGAGGAGCAAAAAAGAAAAGGAGGATTGAAGAAGAGCTCTTCATAGATGAGACTTTGAAGGGGCTAAACTGGCAGGAGCAGTGAGATTATAGTGAACAGTGCAGCAGCAGGGGCTGCGAGGTGTTGCTGTGTGCTGGTCTGTGGCCTCTGCTCTGGAGTTTGGGGTCTGGAAGGTGAATACAAAGGCCCCAGTGCTGATGACTGTGTGGAGCGCTGCTAGGGGAGCAGGCCGACTGAGCAAACGGGGACATTCTTTCTGCCTGAGGTCACTAGCTGGTCCCATTCATCCCCCCCGCACCTCTCCAGCACCCGCTCTCTGCCCACTTCCATCACCAAGAAAAAGAGGGGGAGGGCTCCATGCCTCCCTCTCGCTCCTTTGGCCTTTTGTGACCAGACATTGCTGCAGAGGGGCCGAATGTCCTCACAGTCCTGCAAGGCATTGAATCAGTAGCTCTATTTATATTTTGCAATCTACCTGCAGGTTTTACAGAGCCTGATCCATGATTATAGCTCAGTCAAATTGCTCCCATTAGGCCCCTGACTGCATGTAAACTTGAGCATATTTTACCCATCCTGGCATCATAGACTAGCTAGATGTGCAGTTTGGGATTTACTTTAAAACCCTTTTCTCATTTTCATGTCTCACTCTGCTTGCTTGTCTTAGTTATTACTTTTAGAAGTTCCAACCAGAGGTTGTGTTAGACTTTGTCATCGCCTTTCATTTTGATGGACAGGGTTGTGAAGTTTCCTAACTTATTTTCTCATTACCTACCTACAAATAAAAAGAGTATCCATTGATGGGGACATCAATGCATAAGGGACAAATAATGGTACATCACAAAAAAGAATAGAAATGTAAAAAATCTGCTGTAAGGTCACTCCACATGTCAGCAGCAAAAGAAACAGATTCGACAGTTCAAGCGGAGGCACTAAAACAACCTTGTGTCTAAACTAGCAAATATAAGGTGACTTGAGCTGGGTGCTTGATTGAGTGTAATCAAATGCATCAAAGAGGGCTGCTGCAGAGGCGAAAGCTTTTTGTGTCCGATTTTATTTTATTCTGAAGGGCAAACTCTGTCCAACCTCGCTCTGCTGCTACACCCAAAACTGAAATAACCAGCATCATGTTTCCAGCAGGAAAGTGATTGTAATTTAACAAAAGTTTTTTTATGATTAAACTTTCCAATGCTGCAAGCGCTTACTTCCCCATGAGGTTCATTTTGCCTGCCTAATCTGCTCCTTCTGCATGAGGAACCAGCTGCACCCATGACTCAGTCGTAATCACGCTCCGACACCTCACTGGAGGATTCAACCGTGTATGTTTAATTTTAGGTTGTATATATAGAAGACAGCAACTGGTGTGTTTATTTAATATTTTGATGAATCCACCATCTAATCCATCAAAAAGACTGACAGACTTCAGATTTTTCCATCACTTTTTAAAAAAAAGAAAAACATTTAGTTAACTGGAGTCAATTTTCAATTGATTCAATTTTAAGTCAAAAGTTGACACAGGGCACTTTAATTTCAAACCATACTCGCATTATTTTGACATCACAGCATTTGAAACTAGAGGTTTACAACTGATTTTGTTAGGTTATTTACACAGTCATAGTATTTACTTAATTTCATAGTTTATATTTTATAGGGACAGGTATGCAACATGCCTAACAGCACAGAGCTAATTTTCAATAGCATTTAAAATCCATGAACGTCAGCACACCACATGCATATGAGTTTGGTATGGTTTATAATGACACATAATGATGAGTGATTTTCTCCTCTCCCTCTTTCTGCTCCTGACCTCTGCACGTATGACGGCCGCGTGCAATTTTTGGTCATTTACAAATCTCAGCTCATCTGTTAGTGCATGCATTTTGAATGCTGGTGTTGCCATGGAAATAAAGACTGATGTGTCACCATGGCGAAGGTATCATTCGGCTAAATTTTCCTCTGGTATGGCAGTTTCGGTTAAGCCTATTCAGTCAAAAAAGAAAGAAAAAACCCAGGAGTCACTCGTCTTCACTGAAAGGATAGGAATCATTTCATTGGGCATCCAGGTTGTTTAGACACTTTCACCTAAAATGAGAGCTGTGTATTTTTTCTACACAATGTTAGTGTGTCTGAGATTCATCCTTGGATCATGTGGGAGATGTGGCCTTTTCTATGACTACCAAAATGAGAATGTGGGAATCTTATTTTTGCATAATACAAAAAGAAGATTTAACACGTTGCAG